GTAGTAGTAGTAGTAGTAGTAGCAGTAGCAGTAGCACCAGCAGCAGAAGCGGGAGTAGTAGTAGTAGTAGTCGTCGTCGTCGTCGTCGTCGTAGTAGTAGTAGTAGTAGTAGTGGTTGTTGTTGTTGATGCTGGTGGTGGTGCTGGTGGTGGTGGCGGTGTTGTTGCTGTAGTTGCGGTTGCTGTGGTTGTTGTTGCTGCTGCTGCTGCAATTGCTGCTGCTGTTGGCAGTGGTAGTACTGGTTGTGGTGGTGGTCTTGTTCTTGTTGTCATTCTTGCTTTTGCTCGTGATGATATTGTTGTTATTATCGTTGTTCTTGTTGTTGCCACTGTTACTTGTCGTGATAATGGTTCTCGTTGCTGTTATTGTTGGTGTTCTTCTGACGACGATGTTGATGTGGACGTTGTCGCTGTTGTTGTCGTTGTTTCTGCTGCTGCTGTTGCTGCTGTTGGTGTTGTTGGTATCGTCGTCGTTGTTGCAGTGCCGTTGCTACTTTTATTGGTGCTATTATTGTTGCTGTTCTTCTCATGAAGAAGACGATGATGATGATGATGGTGATGGTGATGGTGATGGTGATGATGATGATGATGACCATGGTGATGATGATGATGATGATGATGATGATGATGATGATGATGGCGTTGCTGCCGTCGTCGTTCTTGTTGCTGCTGTTGCTGCCCCTACTGCTCTTGGTGCGGCTGCTGTTTCTGTTGCGGTTGCTGTTGTTATCGTTGGTGTTGTCGTTGTTGTCGTAGTTTGTCGTCCTTGTCGTTGTCGCTGTCGCTGCTGTTGTTGTTGTTGCTGTTGTCGTTGTCGTTGTTGCTGCTGTTGTAGTTGTTGTTGCTAGTGGTGGCAGCGGTGGTGGCAGCGGACTGGTGGTAGCCCTTTTTTGCTTCACAGCAAACTGAAGCACCTCGCCGGTGGCCACACTCCAGGCAGTCTCGTACCTTGTCACTTCCATCGCATCCGGTGTGGCATCCGGCGGCAAATACCTGGAAGCACGAATGCAGAAGGCAGGGTGGAGTAAATGCTTTCAGATTCGCGCAGCCAACACGAGCACTCTTTCTTTCCTCATTCTTTCGGCCAGGGTACTGCGGGTACAGCCGCGCCCCTGCTTGCAGGAGTGCGGACACCATCCTTGGACAGCGCTGGCGAACGCTCTCGATGAGGAGGGTGGGCGCAGTGTTTGTAGCCTCACCAATGGCACCATCTTCCCCAGAGTTCGCCAGATTGGGATAGATAGTCACCAGGATGTCGAGCAACCTCTCCATGTAATCACCTTAGGGGAAGCCGAGCAGTGAAGGCTGAGACCCGGCTCGCTGTCATCCTTCATGCGAGCACTACAGTTACACTGACCACAAAGGTCGAGACCTCGAATCCTCAAACCGCAATCAACTCAGAAGTCCCGAAGTCAACGACCTCCAGAGACTTCCCACCATGCTCTTTGAGTCTGAAGGCTCTCGCCACGCCGGATGGCTCCAAAGAGCTCCCACAGCGCCAGGTCCCGATTTGGCAGGTGGCCTGAGTGCGGTTTATGCCTCCGGTTGCTGGTGGTGCGCCTTCACACCCCACAGCACTCCTTGTGTACTCCTGCTGTTGCTGTTAATGGGTGCGGCTCAGACTGGAGTGACAACGAACGATGCCTTGCAGGCTGCCAGGATCCTGCAATGGTTTTGACTTGAACGCCAAAGAAGCCCTAAACCCTAAACCCCTAAACCCTAAACCCTAAACCCCGAAACCCTAAACCCTAAACCCCTAAACCCGAAACCCTAAACCCCTCAACCCCCAGACCTCGGCTCCCCTCCACTGAAACGACGGACGAAGCTGCCGCGCTGTCGGATGGCTTCTACACAGTCGGCATGTCCAGCCTGGCATCAAGGCTGACGGTTTCGGGTTTAGGGGTTTAGGGTTTCGGGTTTAGGGGTTTAGGGGTTTAGGGGTTTAGGGTTTAGGGTTCCAGTACCCTCTGCTCACCCACAAGCAGCGCCAGGGCTGAAACCTTTGCCACACCTGGACTTAACCTCAACAGCGGACCTAAGGCTTTGCTATGCGTCCGTGAGGACATGTACAGTACAGATGGCAGCGGGGGGAATATGCATGTTGTGGAAACTAATAAGATGTGCGTGCCAGGGGGTCCTTTCAAGGTGACGACTGCTGCTGCCATTGCCACTGGGGGCTCATGGTCTCTGTAGGGCAAGGTACGAGCTCAACTCCAGACAATCCCAAACATAACACCGTCTTGCTGCTGTTGTTTTAGGATATCTAGCTTACATTTACATCTAGGAATCTAGGCCTTCAGCGCCAGCATGGCCACATCGTCCCCATTGGGGTCCTCCGGGGTGTCAGAACAATAGACCTCTTCAGGCCGGAGCCGATTCTCTTGAGGCCTCGGGTTCTGACAGAACCGAAACTCTCTTTTCAGTAATACAACAGGAAACGACAATAGGCAAGAATATGGAGTGAATCCGCAGCAATCTCACGAGCTATGACGACAACATCTCGAGAATCTCGAGAGAGCAGGGCCGTCCTACTCAAGTTCGACTTCGGACAGTCCTGGTCCCTGGAGTTTGCGCCGCCATCCAGGAGCACCTCAGGGAAATACAAGCTTGGGGCTGTCAGGGTTTCGAGTTTCGTGGGCGTCGAGTCTTAGGTTCAGTTCATGCTTTGTTTTTTCAAGTGTGAGCATGGGGTGGCGAGGGGTGTGTAGGGGCAAAGAAGCGTAAGGGTTGTGACATGGGATGCCCTGCTGATGTTCGCACGGACCTTGTTCATCTTATGGAGTTATGGAAACTACTCTCCAGCCTCCGTAAGCCTCTTGAGTTCCGGACACCCTCTGCAAATGAAGACGCACGATGAATAACCCCTTTGACTTTGTCGTTTTTTTTAAGCTATAAGGACCCAACTGATAGGGCCAATTAGAGAATCTCTGATTGTATCTGCTTGTGGTCGCGCCTCCAACACCGCAAGGGAGCCCCTCAGGGCCGACCCGGCCGCGACGGTCATCCCGGAGGGTCCAATCGCATGGATCTCAAGGCGGCCGGGAGTTCGGAGGGGGGGGCTGCTTAGGCTTAATATAGGGGCCTTAATAATTTGAATAGGGTTTTGGGGCCCACTATACTATAGTTACATAAGGAACCCCCAAAACAGTATAGGCTTAGACAGTTAAGCCTACAGTAGAAGCCATAAGTTGGAATAGTGCAGTCCTCATGTCCTTAAAGTAAAGTATAAGGGATCCTAGCACAAAACCACCCTGAACCCATGTTCCAACTCTAGGGTACGAGTACTTGTCCAGTATCACAGGGAGCCAGGACCACAGGTCGACCTTGGGATTATGTAGGGATTCGGGTACCCAGTACGACTATGTAATACTCCTATACGACGAAGACTACTACTGCCACTAACACTACCACTACCACGACCGCGACTATGACCACGACCACCTACGGCTACGGCTACGGCTTTTTACTACCCCCACTATAGCGTTACTCGCAAGCTTGATCACGATGTTAGTTGGTAGGAAATGGAGATTTGTCTTCGAAGTTAACTCCAACCGACTCTTCAACAATACAGGTACAGCTCCTCTAACTACTCAAATCTTCTACTCTCAAACTTAAGCCCCTTAGGCCACAGCACATCAGCTCCACGACGCAGCAGCAAGGCCACGAGATCCGCACGGTCAGCTTCAGCCGCACACATCAGGGGGAAGCGGCCTGAGGTGAAACCGCGAACAAAATATAGGAGCCTTGATAATAGGAACAGGGTTCCTTTAAAGGGTGACATGCGTTATTTTAAGAGTTCTGTGACAGTTTAGAATATCGGGCCTGCATGCCTTCATGATTAGCATAGGGTTCGGGGTTTACGGCTTCTATGTCACTGATCCACAATATTACCAACATAGCAATAGAAACCGTTTTTGGCATGATTTTACAATAGCATGTAGGTGGTTGATCCTTCAATGAAATGATAATACCTCCGACACCTGCCTTCTTCTGTTACGTTCGTTTGTATTTCCCCAAACTTGTACAGTGTGGTATTTGGGGCTCTTACGTTCATTAGGACTGGAGGGATTTGCATGGCTGCTAAACCGTGAGGCGCCCGCGGATGCGAAAGCGACGGTTCTGCGGCTACCACTGCGGCGCGCTGTAAATTTTCGATTTTTACAAGCATTGTACTTCTACGCAGTCCACCTCGGGCTGTGCCCGCTGAATTCATTGTTTCACCGAGACTTTGGGGCTTCCCAACTTGATCAATCGCGCTCCCACCGCAGTGCCGTGCACATTTCGAGCATTTTTGGGCTATTTGGCTCCTCGGGGCTTTGTTGGTAATCCTGGCTTGTGAAATCTGCGAAACTGTGCCATCGTGCTGTCGCCACAGTGCTGCACACATTTGTCCTCTTCCCACCACAGTCGCATTTCCTCCCAGAATCCTCCTGTGTTTGCACTCAAGCCTGGATCTATCTTTGTTGAAATTACGTGAAGGTACGTCAACAACCAGGTTAGTATGAAGCCCTCAACTTGCCCTAAGCCCTAACCCTAAACCCTGAAACCTAAAGCGTAAACGGTTTGAAGCATCAGGTCTGGCCGCGCCTTCGGCGTCTCGAGTGTCCGGCTTGGCGGATGAGTTGAGTAAGACCTGCACCTGCCGAGCACCCTTCCGGGTTTATGGTTTAGGGACCTGCCTCAACTCAGAAGCATTCTTGAAAGCAGCAGAGAAGAAGGCATCGTCGCCCCAGGTATCCTGAAAACATGCCTAGCCCTCCGACGGAAATCCTTCCTATTCAAGTCTCGAACCATCTACGCAATCTCAGAACGCTCGGTGCGGTTCTGTGCCGACTATATCGATAGAATGGGGTTTGACGGCACATGACGGCACATCATAATTATATACATGAGGTTATACTCTCACAGAAGATTAAGGCCCTATTGAAATTGTCAAGCCCAGCAGTCGGGAATTGCTGCCGCCAGGCTGCCAGGGTGGCACCTGGATCCCACTCCGCTGCCAGGCGTGCAGCGAAAGTCAGGAGAGTCCAGCGATCCTCGTTGCTTGTAGGTAATGGGTAGTAGTGACGGTGGATCTGACTGCGAAGACCCCTTGCCTACATCCTCTCTTTACATCGTGATGTGTACGTGACATCCCTGACATAGTGTACTCTTGCCGCCAGTTGTTCGGTGAGACAGCTGGAATAGTGAAGATAGCAGCAGCATCTCCCCACCGTATACATCCTGCATTCCTTCATCCCAGGAGCACTGACTGCATGACAAGAGGCCCGCAGCAAAGACTCCGGGTTCACACCTGCCTCCACCAACCTCGGCAGAAACAGGTGTGGGAGGGCTACCAAGGCCTGCAGTGACGACAACTCAGGTTTATAATAGTATATTCTATAGTATATTATAATACAGTATATTGTATAGTATACTATAATATAGTATATTCTAAAGTATGTTATAATATAGTATATTCTATCGCATATTATATAGTATCGTGTCTGCCATGCCCCTGCAGAGAACACCTGCCGGCATGCCTTGCAAGATCACAATGACGTTGAGGAATAGAAAGATCTGGCCGACTCTACTTGGAGGTTCATGGGTGGTTAGAAGTGGAGTAATAAGTAGGGTAACCATAGTTATAACCCATATTAGGGGGACTTATAACTCCACTTATAACTACCCATGAACCTCCAAGTAGCAATGTTTCTGGTCTTTGTCGCTTCCGGATTCGGGCTCCAAGATCAATAAACGAGCTATCGCCAAACTTGCATGGCTCTCTGTGCCTTCGGTGCAAACGAGAACCCTTGGCAAACGCAAGGGAGACGAGGTGAAGAGCGAAACCGCGGACAACCCCAAACGTCTAAGATAACCAAACATAGCTGTAGGAGCCGCGGCTGTCCAGAAATAATGCTTCCAGGTGCACCTACGAACGACCCCCCCACAGCCCGAAATCCCGGCCAAGCAGCTGCACCATAGTGGCGAGGTCCAGTGCGCTGGCAGCACATTGCAGCCGGGACTGCGCCCGGCGACGCCTGGGGCTAAATCGGCAAATCTTCAAATGGTTCAGGGCGGCTTCACGGCTCAGGCTTGAAGTACAAGATCCCAGGTGGAGGCACGATGCATCAAGTTTCTATATCGAGGGAACTCTCCCTTGCTTCGTCTTGACCAACATGTCAATGCAAGGGCTTGCTGGGCTTGTACCTTTTCCCTCGGTTCTGCCACACGAGCGTTCTGTACCCCTCAGCCCTGATTGTCAAACTGCCTGTAAGAGCTTTCGGGTTAAGGATTCCTGTTGGGCTTTGGGGTTTAGGGTTGAGGCTATAGAATTCCTAAACCCTACTAAACCCCAGAGAATTCCTAAACCCTAAACCCCATAGAACCCCTAAACCCTAAAACCCAAAACCCTAAATTGAGCCGTGCGGCAGGACATCTTCAGCAGCCGTGCCCTTGGCCAGGCTCACGGCATGGCTGTCGACCTTCTCTGGGGCCGGGGGGGAAGGGGGGGGGGGAGGGTTTAGGGTTTAGGCTTTAGGCTTTCGGCTTTGGGGATTTGGCTTTAGGCTTTAGGGAGCCGTCATAGCTTTGCAAGATCGAGCGTGAGCTCCATGGAGCTCAGCAAGCTTGCGCATATCAGCGGTAAGATACAGTAAATATTCCAATACTCTAATACACTATGTAACATACTACCATATACTTGAGGCTAACATACTATCATCTACTTGAGGCATGCAGGTGTCAGCTAGCCTTAGAACCTCGTGGGACATGCGATAGCAAGTTGACCCCCTAGCAGCTGAAGGCAAAGGATTTGGACCTGTCAGGCCAGCTCCATCTATCTATCTGGGTCTATACCTTCTATATCTAGAGTACACAGATATAATATCTGTGTATCTATGTGTATGTATATATCTCCATATATATATATATAATGTGTTCTGTATTCTATCTTCTATCATTCATCTTCTATACTCTATCTCCTATATTGGATACTAGGTATTAGTTATGTAGATATTAGATGCCAGACTGTAGTTATGAGATAGTTATTGCATATTGAAAGTGTGTATATGTTCAAGTATATATGTATATACTCTATGCTTCCCGATGATCTGTTATGATACAGTATGCATGCAATGATACCAGTATATCATACTCTGTATGGGTAGTTATGTCATATGTTGTCTATCGTGCACATTGTTCAGACCCCCAACTAAGGTGCTCATCACCCTTCTTGTGCTAGTAGTAGTAGTAGTAGTAGTAGTAGTAGTAGTAGTAGTGACTGTTCATGACAATCTGTAACGTAAACTTTCAAGCACAAGTATGCCCACGAGTCTGCGTCGCTGCCTACCGATAGTTGAACGCTTACTGAGGTCCCGGGCAGTGGCACCATGCTCCAGAAGCATGGAGACCAGCTCCTTCCATTGTGTACCAAACGCAGAAAGCAATTCGTTCCGTGCTTTCACCACATGTGCGACATGTCTTCACCAAGTTGCTCGAATCCTCGGCTCGTCATTGTTGCTTTGAGACTGCCCCAATTCCGTATGAGATCACTTGCACGAACATGGGATTGACCATCTGCGCTTGTCCTTGTGGCCTGCCGCGGCTGCGCTGCTCAGCAGTGGGATCGCAGCCTTTGTCAGAGGACTGCTTAGACAGATGGCCGCCAACAAAAGTCCGGCAAGGTTTCCTGCTTCACGTTCGCGGCTTGAGTGGGTTTCTTATATTATAGCATCGTCGCGTATCCGGATGGGTCTAGCGCCCTGAAGCCTCTACAACGCCAGCCCCAAATGCAAATGCATTCCGCTGTTTTGGCACATGGTCAAACGGAAGTTCTCACATTCCTCCGTAGACCACTCAACAATCGTAAATCCTAGACTGTGAACATCTGTAAACCCTCTCAGGCACAAAGAGGCCGCCTCGGAGGTGGGGTCGAAGGTCACTGGACAGACCTTGACGTTGGGATCGGCACCTTGGAGGATCGAAGGATCATCGGGGCTGAATGCTCAGGGCTTTTCCAGGTGGAGCAAGGGCAACAGGTACTTGCCTGTGTGTGTCTGCAGCTATGTGTATACACGCATGCATACATACACATTCTTGGTTTCATGTGAACGAAAACATGCTATAAATATATATATATAGATATACATATATATATATATATAGATATGTATATTTCCCTATTCGTGTATTCCTGTATTTACATTGTTGTTCTAATGTTTATAGTTATATTCATATATTTACATGCATGAAACAGGTATATTATGTAAGCACACACATACCTTTCAAAGTATGATGTACGTAGTGATATTTATGTAAGGAACGGGTTAAAAGTTCAGAGGACCTCTCGCCGCGAAACCGAAGCAGAGCTTCGGCTGCTGGTGTGTTGGAGAATGCCGTCTCGGAGAAACTTAGGGTTTAGGGTTTAAGTTTAGGCTCTCTCAGCTCAATCCGAATACACGGAGTCCCATCGCCTCACCTCCCCCGTTTAGACCCACTCAATCCGGGCCCCCGGCTGTACGTCAGCAGCCGCCGTAGCTGCGCCACCTCGTAGGAGGGTAGAACGCGACAAGAGACCAAGCATGGCTTAAACGGAACCAACCAGGCCCTCAGCCAAGCCCTAGAATGAATGTCTACAGTGGAACCTCAACAACCTGCAACGAGTCCTAGAAAGTGGATCCCAAATACCAACATGGAATCCTAGATCCTGAATCCCCAAACCCTACTTAAAACCCGGGATCCTACCCCCCCCCCCCCCNNCCCCCCCCCCCTTAAAAAAAAAAAACGTGGCCTGATCCGGAGACCCATCGAAGCTGGCCCCAAGCCGTGCCAGTGTCTGCGCGTCAACCTTCCCGGACTAGACGATGCGACTCTATGCTATACTATTCTATATACGAGTACTACATTGTTCTATACCATAGTACAGCATACGATACTATACGCATGAAGAAGTGGACATGGGAAGGACGCTAGGGTTGGTGTCGGACCCAAGATTTTTCGACTTGGATTGGAAATATTCGGGCTCCGGGACTTTGGAGACGGGACTGTCGTTGGACGGCGAGTACAACAACTTCAAGTGTTCGGGGACGCAGTAAGCCAGCGTGCATCCTGCTCATCATTCCCACCATCACCATCACCGTCGTCATCGTCGTCATCATCATCATCATAAGCCGAAAGTCGGCGAACCAACAACTGCCTTGACCCTAAAAAGGCTGTAGCCCGGCGCCGCCGCCGCCAGTGTGGCAACCCCGGATGATAACCCAGGCCTGGTATTGGGATCGCGCCACCTCCAGCATTCGCAAGACCTTCTCCTGAACAAGGGTTCAAGGGTTCGGGAGGTTGGGGTATTCGGCCTACGACTTGGAGTTAATGATCTCGTTTTTAAGAGTTCAAGACTTGTCTTGCCCAAGACCCACACCCAATGCCAATGAGCAATGCAGCACCAAAATGGTCAAGCCTTCCTGCATCATGTGTGCCTCTCCACCCCACCCGCGAGAGCGACACAGCACCAAAGTAACCACACCCGTTCATGCACCACGAGTGCCTCAGCGACACCACACTCACAGAGAAAAGCAGCATGAAAGTCACGATTCGTAAGTCATGCCTCCTGACATCCCGTTCCCAAAGCAAGGCCACATGAAAGGGGTCAAACCTTCGTGCATCCCGAGTGCTTCGGCCACTCCACATGGAAAGTGGTCAAACTGAATCAAACTTTCATGCACAACTGCCGCCTCCAAACACCTCACCCAGAGCAACGCGCCACGACAAGGGCCAAATCTTTGCATGCACCGCGAGAGTCTCCTGACAGCCCACCCCCCCAGCGCCAGCCCGGTCCGAAAGGGATCAAGCCTGAAAGACAACACACCACCACAAAGCAAAAGTTGTCGAACGTTCATGTCCACCCACAGCACGGAACTCCGCAGCAGGAAAAGGTCCACACCTTCACGAACCGGAGACCTCAACCCCGAAAGAAACGCAGCCCGAAGGGAATCAAACTTTCATGTATCACAAGTGCTGCCATCACGAACAACTGCGAAGCACAACCTGCGCGAATTGAGGTCTGCCGGTTTGCCCTTCTGCCGGACCTGGAACCAGCGTGCTTCTAGCCAGTCATCCGACAGCATGTCCAGCAAAATCGTATCGACGCGGTCATCGAATGGGTCGGCACCTGTGTCGGGATTTTCTAAGATACCTCGTGGAAAGCGGGCGAGGAGTGTATCCGGGAAGGACTGTTCCAGATTCCAGCATTTTTTGCAGACAAACTAATTGGAGCTCATCTTGGATGGCGACAAGTTGCACAGCACCGACTGTGAGCTGAGAGTTAAATCCGGCATGCTGAAAGCCTGGAAATTCAAGCTCCCGAAAAGCGCTATGCCCCTCATCCAGTAAACACCCTAAAGCCCTAAACCCAAAAATCCTTAAAGCCCTAAACCCCAAAAAACCTAGAGCCCTAAACACCAAAAAAAACCCAAAAAGCCCTAAACCCAAAAAAAACAGAGCCCTAAACCCCAAAAACCCTAGAAGACCCCAGAGGCGCCAAAGCCATGGCAGCCAAGGAGCCACTTGCAATGAGCAGCTCGATGCACTGAAAGTGGTGGCCCGCCACTGCGAGGGACAGAGGGCTGCAATCGCCTCGCAGTAGAGTATACTAGAATATACTACAACATACTATCATATGCTACAACACACTATAATGTACTAGAATAAACTATCATAAACTATACTGATTATACGATAACATACTACAATAGGCTATGATATACATGCTTTCCGAGTTCGAGACTTCCGTCCTAGAGTCTTCTTGGCGAGGCGAGGTATTTTTCTCGCATGGGAGCACGCGATGATTATAGAAATAAACATGCAGCCATGAAGATGAAGGGCCCACAACGACCACAAAACAATCACTGCGCCACCGCTGCCACAACTACAAGTACTAGAAATGCGACAGCGAGACAAAATGAACCACCGAAAACAAATCAGACCTAGAGCGCCAAGACAAGGAAGCACAATGCCAACAGAGCAACAATTAGAAAAAAATAACGACAACACCAAGAAAGACAAGAGCAACACGCAAAAAAACAGCACAAGACCAGCAAGACGGCAACAAGACGACGACGACGACGAGGATGACAGTAGCGGCAACAGCAGCGGCAGCAGCGCTCCCAGCCTGATGATGATTGTGATGACTGTTGCAATATCCCGACATGTATGACAACCTATGATTCATTACGGCAGTCGTCTTGCGGCTGCGATGGTGCTAGCAGTATACATCGATTATCAACGTACGGAACATCAAACGGGAGCAAAGTCGAGTCTGCTCCGTCGGGTTTACAAGAGGTGCCTTAATAATTAGACTAGGGCTTCCTTTTAAAAGGGTTCCTACAAGGATTACTATAAGGGGTTCTAGAATGTAGGGGCCTTGATGTACTATAATAGTAATAATAAGGCTCCTTTTCGGGTCTCGTCGGGCCTCGTGGCACAAGCGACGGTGGCAGTCTCGGCTGGCTCACCGGAGCTCCAGCATCCACCAAGAGCCTGATGATTGCTCAGGGCTTCAGGGATCTTGGGGTTTTGGGTATTGTAGTATTGTACATATATATATATGTATATCTATATATAATTTAATATTCAAGGTGAAGAGGTCCGCACAAGGAATCTCTAGCCACTGGCATCGACTAAGCCTCCTCACCCCAAAGCTGATCATCATGTTTAAACCGACAGCCACCACTGCACTCTTACTGCACTCTGGGACCTGGGGAGTCCCGCGCTGATAACTTCTACCAGCATATACGAACACCAGCTTATACAAATACCTATACCATAACTCATACAGGTAGAAATGCGACTGCTCATGTTGGTTTTATCACCCATACCAAACGAACACTGCGAATGAAGACTGGTACCGTCGCAATGGCCACCACTTCCATTAATAAGCTGATAGCAGATCAAAAGACTCATACTAGAAACTACAACTGAAACTTAGCATAAATAGTGCGCTCTCAAGCCGCCAAGAAGCTTGAGCACTCCGGTCAAGCCACAGTGGGCAGCGAGTCCGAGGGCAGTGCAAGTCCTGCCAATGGTACAGGGGTGTTTGTTCCAGTTCTGACATATTGCTGCTGCCGCAGCTGAGGTGACGTTGGTCGTATTGTTGTTACCGTTCTTCTGCCATCGCTTCGTCCCAACGTTCCACCTTGTCTGTGTTTTGCTGATGTTGCTGCTGCGCCTGGTGGTGGCTTCATTGCTCCCTCAACTCCTACCGCTGGCTGAATTGACTTGCCAGCAGTGATGATGATGATGATGGTTGTGATGATGGCAGCAATGATGGTGGGCACAACCACCCCCACCCCCAACCGCAGCAAAAAAAAAAAAAAGGCCCCCCAAGCCGAGGACAGTCCATGAGTTGCTTGCGTCGTGGAGAGGCACAGCCAGCACTTGCGTCAACTGTTGCTGCCCCAATCCTCTGGCGTCGGGCCGATTCTGTTGGCAAGGGCTGAGGGCTTGGCATCCTGTCCTAGCATTCTGCGACTACGGAATGCTTAGAGGGTTGTGGGAGGGAGTACAGGGCTTGTGGTCAGGGTCTGCTGCTTCTGGTTCACGACCTCCGACACATCTGTGTGGTGCTGCAGATTCTGTTCAAGATGCCAGTGAAGAGCTGAGCTTCACCAAAAGCTGAAAGCTTGGAACCCTAAACCTTCAACCTTAAACACCTTCGACTTGTCAGATCGGCCCAGAACGCGAAACCTCGGAAGGAACAACCTCCTGTGATTTCGGCTCCGTTCACCTAGAACCCCATCGAAAATGCAGGGGTTTAGGGTGTAGTCCTAAATCTCTGCCAAAACCCAAACAATGCCCCAAGATGTAATAGCCAGCCCCCGAACCCCTAAGTATTCGTATTAGTGCACTGGCTTTAGACTGGTATAAGTATTAGTATCCGTATTCGTTTACTGGGTTCCGAGGTTCTCCGCGCAGCTGCCTCCAAAGTTTCCAGCACCTCCTCCTCGGCCTGCAACGGAGAACCTGCCGTCGCTTCCGGGGCCCAAACTCCAAGATCGACTTCGCGATGAGACTAATATAGGGGCCTTTATAATTAGAAAGGGGGTTTGGAGGGATCCTTATTATGGACCCCCAAGTCCTATTCTAGTTTTTAAGGCCCCTATACTACGCTAAATCAAAGCAGATGAAAAACCGTCATCGTAGCAATAGCACTGAACATGATATCAAGCCCGAGAGCTACTTTAACAACAACTGTGGCGGAAAAATGCTGATAGCGATAGCAGCTACGTGCGCGAGAGGCTATGGGAGGAACCAAGCAGAGCCGATCAAACCTCCAGTCAGAAAGCTGTTACAGCCCTCCAGTATGGAGTAGCGGGTGGAGGATGCTGTTGATTGATATCCGATATCCGTTGTCTGCGGGCGCTGTCGGCCAAGTGATGCGAGAACTGCCTTAGACCCTACACCCTAAACCACGATACCCTCAACCCTAAACCCCTAAACCTCAAAGCCCCTGTCGCTTCCGTGCCATGGCACAGATGCCCTCCACAGCCGCACGCATCACAGTCCTCGACTGTCACAGGGAGAGAAAACTCAATCTCTCTGGGGAGCAGCATACACAAAGGTTTATATTATGCTACTATTCGGAGAAAGCACGATGCTTGGTCGATACTTGGCAGCTCGTGGCAAGAACAACTGCCATTAGCTACTAGCAGGCCAAACCCTAAACCCTAAACCCTAAACCCTAAACCCTAAACCCTAAAGCCAAAACCCTAAACCCAAAACCCTAAACTCTAAACCCTAAACCCAAAATGATGATTATGAGAGCCAGATCTTCGGGCTTTCACAAACCTGATATCCTGCTGCGGTTCGGATTCCTTGCTCGCAGGTCCTTTCAGGGCCTCGGGCTTGAGTTCAGAATGGTTCAGAGTCAAGTAGTGAGGATCCCCCATGCACCTTCTGAAGAGCTAAAACTAGCCTAAACCCTCTAATATCGGGGCCTTAATAATTTCAAAAGGGTTTTGGGGAAGGAACCCCCTAAATAGTATAGGTAATTGCTTAGGTATCTATATTGCACCCTCTACCCTAAACCCCTAAATCGTGCATGGTGACGGTTCCCAGGATTCCGGTGTTCAAGGCCAAGGCACGCAAGGTCTTCCAAGACCCAGCGCCCTTGCTGCACGGTGGCCTGCACGACCTGGAAAGGAAACAGGTAAGGTTTACGGTTCAGGGTTTAGTTTAGGGTTTCACCGTCACGGCTGGAAGGGCTTCAGGCGATCCTACTTACGAGTCGATCATAAGAATTTGCAGGACTGTGTCGTGTGTCCGTGGTCCAAACACCTTTGTGGTCAGGATTTTACCATCTGCAAGTGAAGCTACGACCGCTGAGTTGAACTATGTAAACTCGTCTTTCAAGGAGCTTAGTACAACTCAGACTGAATATCATGAAGTGGGCGAGACTGGTTCTACAGTACCGGTTTGAATCATCCCAGAGTGTGCTCTGCTCAACCAGTCGGTGTGTCTCAAGATTGCCATGAACTCCGACCTATTGCATTACATCAGCAACACCAGGATTTGTTCGATCAACACTCTAGCTGCTCTCGCCGCTCTACAGCAAGAACCAAGCTGATCGATTAGTCAAACCCTACCAATATGTACTAGGAAAAGACGGTTCAGGGTTAAGACGTTTACAGCAATAAGAAAACGCGAGAAAACTCGAAGTCCGCGCAGGTCTACCATTGAGGCTTCAAGACTGCTGCACCCAAAACCGCTTTGAAGATCATTTGTTGCGGCTAAGGCTGTCGAGGGCAGCCTCTGTTTGTGTGTATCGCTCTGTTTCTGTCTGTTCGTGGATGTGTGCCTGTCTCCCGGCACGGGCCTCGTGCACGCCTGCAGCCGTGAGCCGCAGCAAGCAAATAGCGCCAGAGCACTCCTTAACTGTGTTGGGGTTGCGCTATACCTTTACCCTGGGACCACGCCATAAACTCCTACAATGGCGAGTTTAACGGGAGCTGGTTTCTCATCATGACGAGGACTTTTGGGTTTCAGAAGAGGCAGCACGCACCTTATCTGCAAGGCTTGTCTGAATCTATAATGACTGTTTTGCTCCATGCAGTCAATGTTGGACTACACCGCTACAGTATGCTGTATTGGAAGGAACGATATTGAAAGTATAGTTTTCAAGCGTCTTCAAAAACTCTCGCCCTTTCGTGAAGGCGCGCATGAATAAATGTACCTCGACCAGAACATCTACATTCGTGCATGCATTCTGCCAATGCACTGCTACTACGAATACCGACAGTGTGCTGCACCCCTACAAAACAGCAACACATCGGGCAGGCGATGGAATCTGCGAAGCTGATTTCGACAGAACCGAAGCTGCACGAAGTCGCAATACTAATGAAAGTCACACCAAGATTTATAATGGCGATGACTACAGTAATGGCAGAAAAACATGCAGCAAATACACATCTGTTCTCTCGGCCAGGTGACGATCATCACCTGCACCTCTGCAAGGTCTTGCTCACCACGAGAAGCCTCCTTTCAAAGTGCAGATGACTATGTCTCAATGTATCCCCCAGATGCCGATGTTAATACTGTTAGACTTTATTGGGTTGAGGGCTTTGGGAGACTAGGCAGTGGAATTTACCTTTTAACCCCATTTCTTGGGCGCCTCTGAAGCCCTGCTCAGACAGAAACTGAAACAGGGGTCCGACGTACACCATCACCGAAGTATTCCGTTTTGGGGTTCAAGGTTACGCGGGCTTAAGGCCAAGGACTGTATGGGTTTAAACCTAGACCCGAAACCCCTAATGTAGGAGCATTAATCATTGGAATAGGGTTTTGGGGCCCATTATACTATACTTATAGTAAGGACCCCCCCAAACTAGTATTGGCAATTATTTAGGCCCCTATATTCAACCGATTTAGAGTGTGGGATTCACGGCCTCAGAAAGGCGGCAGCACCCTAGCCTGGCCCGAGGCTCTTTCCCTGGTCTCCACTTTCTATCTTCAGTTTCAGATATCTTAGATACACCCTAAATCGTTTAATATAGGAGCCTAAACAATTACCAATACTATTTTGGGGTTTCGTTATTATACTTATAGTATAAAGGGCCCCAAAGCCCTATTCTAATCAGTAGCCGGGCCTGAAGTTTCAGCGTTTTGTCTTGGCTTTCGATATCTTTCGCACCGGGGCTTGGGGGTTCAAAATTTTGGTGTTAAGTTTAGCGTGATGAAGGCTTCGACTTCGGGGTTTGGGATGTAACATTCAAGGTTTCATAGCACCCCTCCACCCTAAATCCTAAACCCTAAACTACCCTAAATCCTAAATCCTAAACCCTAAACCCTAAATCCTAAATCCTAAACCCTAAATCCTGAGCCCCTTTTTCCCCCCCTGCATCAAGCCCCACACGAGCCTGCGACTCCCTGAGTTGTCTCGACGTGCGTCTGTCGAGGGAGACCTCCCTGGAGCCTGGGGGTTTAGGGTTTAGGGTTTCGGGTTTAGGGTTTAGGGTTTAGGGTTTAGGGACCTTGGGGTGTAGGGTTTAGGGACCTTGGGGTGTAGGGTTTAGGGACCTTGGGGTCCTTGGGGTGTAGGGACCTTAGGGTTTAGGGACCTTGGGGTGCAGGGTTTAGGGATAGAGTAGGGTTTAGGGTTTAGGGTTTAGGATTTAGGGTGTAGGGTTTAGGGTTTAGGGTTTAGGGACCTTGGGGTGTAGGGGTTTAGGGTTTAGGGACCTTGGGGTGTAGGGTTTAGGGATAGAGTGGGTTTAGGGTTTAGGGTTTAGGGATAGAGTGGGGCTTTTTAGGCAGCTGCTTTCTCGTTTCTGGCGCTCTTCGTAATCACTGACTGCTGCACTCGGAACGAAATCGAGCTCCACCATGTTACTGCGTACTGCTAGTGTTTATTGTCATTGAGTCATTGCTGTTATGACTGGGACTACACGTGCATCGCGATGGCCACCAGCAGTATTTTCTCCTTAGCCTTGCTGCTATTTCTCCTATTAATGTCGATTTGATCTGAAAGTGGGAGAGGCTGCGGCGCGGGACGCCTGCTTTGTCGCAGAACTGCCGGAAGCTCGTCTCAAAGCCCGAAGGATAAGCTGAGAGCAGGTCTAGAGGTTTTGGGTTTTGGGGCTTCAGATGCTGGTTCAGGCACCCTGGACTCCTGATTAATGACATCCCTCCAGAGGCTCCAGAGGAAACGCACATGCAGAAATGCAGACACGCACATGTTTTGTCGCAGGAATGGGAAGAAGAGAACCCTAACCTCCCAGGTACCTACTATATAAGGCCTTAGGGGCTCCAGTACCCTATATAGTAGGTACCTGGGGGTTAGGAGAACATGATCCTGATCGCATCGAAGTCTGCTGCGGCTCGAGCGCCTTCAGCAGCAAGCGTCTCCAATGCTTTCTGAGCAGATGCGGCGATGGAGGCCGCGGCTACAGCGACGGCAGCAGCACGGTCCTGGCATCTATTCAAACGCTCGTCGGAACACTACTGCTGCTGCTGCTGCTGCTACTACTACTACTACTACTACTACTACTACCACTACTACTACCTACTACTACTACTACTACTACTCCTCCTCCTCCTCCTCCTCCTCCTACTACTACTACTACTACTACTACTACTATTATTACTAATTAAAATTAGACTGCTACTGTTACGATCTGTGGCTCAGGCTGAGGCTTAGACTCGTCCCAGTGAGTGTGTCGCCACGGCTGCTGGCTTGAGTCTATCTACAGTCTCCATGGTAATTAGCTCCTTTTTGGGTTTAACCTTTTATACAGGTAGGATCCTATAAGGTAACCCCAAGAATGAACTACAATTGAGACTAGAAATCCTTAAGATGTCCACGTACCAAGATCCGAACTTACAACTTTTACAGCTCCCAAAATACCGTACCCTAAAAACCTTTCAGTAGACCCTGAACCCGTTGAACCCTAAATCCTCAACACTATAAGCCCTCAGCCCATCTGGATCCTACAGCCTAAACAACCCGAAATCCTAGCCCTAAACCCTAAACCAAAGCCCTACCTCCACTTCTGGAAACTGCCGTGAAGATGCGGTCGACTCGGCTCGGAGCTGGGAGCCTTCCACGGCGAATTCAGGGGCGAATTCAGGGTTAGGGGTTTAGGGTTTTGGGGTTTAGGGGCTTCCTTTAACTTAGGGCGGCCATAAGGTTGCTGGAAAGGCGCTATACGGGTTGCTATACAGGGTTACTATGCAAGGTATAGAAGGGTCATACAAGCACCAGGGTTTGGGGTTGAGGGTTTTCTTCAACCTAATAAACTAGGGATCCTTTATGAGAAGGGTTCCTGTAAGGGGTCTAGAAGACTTTCTTGAACCTTAAAAGTTCAAGGGCTAAGGTCCATTTTCTGAAACTCCCACTTAGCAGGGTGTCTGCCGGTTTCTTCACTGGTTTTTTTCAGGGAGTAGAGCATTAGTGTTTGAGGACTCTAGAGGCGGTTTAGGGTTTAGGGTTTAGGGTTTAGTTTAGGGCTTCAGAACGTTTCAGGGTTTAGGTGTTCAGGGTTTAGGGTTGAAGGCGTTTCGGGTTTAAGGCTTTGGGGGCTTCAGGGCTTTTGACAGGTTGGAGGGTGCCTTTTTTTGGTTGAGTTTGGGGTGGAAGGTTGTAAGGATCCCTTTTAAGGTCCTCTTTCGACATCCTATAGATGGAACCCTGACGTTGAACAACCCTTCCACTAATTGTCAGATCGTCTGTACAAGAAACGTAATTACTCCTAAACAAAAAGAAGTTTTAAAAAGCGCCGTGCTGGAGAGATCTTGGCGCAAACGGCACCGTGATCGAAATAAACCCCTGAAAGCTGAACCCCCAGGCCCTGCAACCTTAATTGTTAAAAGCCCATAGACCTCATTTTCAAAACCAAGACCTCATTATACATAGATTTGCAGGGTTTCTGATTTATACAGTATTTACGAAGATCTTGTTATAGGTAGATCTATCGGGTTTGTAATTTAAACAGTAATTATCAACTAAGAACCCCATAAATCTATCAACCTGTTGGCCTTCGGCTGCCAGAGTCTCCAGCGCGTTTTGGGCGGCGGCAGAGATCGAGGCCACAGCGACAGCAGTGGCTGCGACCCGCTCCTGCTTTAGGCTTCGCGGGCGTAATCAAGGGGCGGACTAATCAGAATAGGGCTTTGGGGTATACATACTGTACTGTCATTCTAAATAAAACGAGGAAACCTGAGGAATAATGCGATGAATATGGGTTACAGAAATAGGGTGCTCCTTCGGGATGCTTCAGGTATTTGTTGCAGACCGACCCAAAGTAAGTTAGCGAGGTGGCTGCGTTCATCACTCTCGGGCATCGCGGCACATATGGGGCATGCTCCTAGGTTTCACCATCATCTCCTGGGAAACGGTGGGCTGGCATTTGAGGGCTTGGAGACGTCATCAACGCAGTTCAGGGGTAGCCGGCCGGCAAAGATGCAAACGGACCTTGGACACAACAAGAGTTCTACGTGCACTCCGTGAAAGCAACCCCGGTAGTCCGATAGTAAACCAAAGCTGACGTTGAAGCACATCTCATGGCCCGCATAGAACCACACCCTGCCTCAGAGAAGACCTTCCGTGCGTGCGGGTCCTGGTCGCCCTGCACACAGTACGACTTACAGTTCATGCGACCCATCGGTCTGGAAGAGATAAAAGTTCACATCCACGAACCTGTCCTCTGTTTATTGATCTACCTACCGGCCTGATTCAAAGCTACACAGGGAGCGAGATGAAGAGAGAGCGAGAGAGAGTGTGTGTGTGTGTGTGTGTGTGCTCATGTGTGTGTTAGGGAGACATGCGCGTGCATTGACTGCATTGAACATCCACCTCTATGCACAAAAAACAGCAGGCAAAGCGGAGATGAGTAGATGAATAGAGACAGGCAGTCAATACAATCTAATATGAGACACCGGCGAGACAGAGATGTGCACAGAGAACAGAAGGCAAGAGAGAGAAAGAGAAAGAGAGAGAAAGAGAGAGAGAGAGATAGAGAGACAATATATATATATATATAGTATATATCACAAAGGAGAGATGGGGAGATGCAAAGCAGCACGTGGACAAATCGGCCTTTTCACAGGCAGGCCGACAAACAGTTCGCGGTTCAAACGACTTGGGGGACAGATTTCAGGGCAGCAAGTCATGGAAAGAAACTCATAAGGCTACTATAGAGTTCTACCATAGCCCATAAGGGTACTCTGGTGAACCTATAGAGTTCTACCATAGGGTCCCTTTAAAAGGGGCACTATAGGGTATTGTGGCAGGAGTCCCGGGGGGGTTGAATGTCACAGGAGTACAGGCAGTGGGGACTGGAACTTCCCAGTAGCTCCTTATTATAATGATAGTAAAAATATAATATACCCCAAANNTAATTATTAAGGCCCCTACACTATCTGTTTCTACAGACACTTCGCGGGGTGCCTCCTTCTGAGCCGCGTCAGCGACCGCTGAGGTGGTGCCGGGCCTGGCAGACCGATTCTACTTATAGTCTTCATTGTAGCTCCTTTTTTGGTTGAACCAACTTTATAGGAAGGATCCTAAAACGCAACCCACAAAAGGAACTACAATGGAGACCATAGGTAGATCCTAGTACAATGCACCTGCCCCTTCAGAAGACCACAAGTACCACACCTGGATCCTGGTTTCTAAGGACACTCCTCACTGAGGAAGATACCTGGATTCCTCCGCTCGCCACGGGCGCGAAAGTGGAGGCGTGGATACCATGGCCGCCTGAATCTGTTGACCGAGGCTCTCTCGTTCTCATGTCGGGAGACCGGACGATCGGATATCTACAACACACACAAGCTCTCCCCAACAAGCATAAGGAATTCGGATTCAGGAATGTAGGGGCCTTAATAATTTGAATAGGATTTTGGGGCCCATTATACTATGATTATAGCAAGGAACCCTAAGGAATAACATAGGCTAAACCCTAAACCCTAAACCGTTATTTACGCTTCTATAGTAGGCTGGCGAGACCTTGAGGTCACAGATCTTCTCGCAGAGCCCCCCGCGGAAATCAGGTCACTGGCCTGGGCCTTCTCGATCACATCCGCTGCCGGCAGCTCGAGGGCAGGAGTCTTCTCCAAAGCCACCTACAGGGTTGAGGGTTTAGGGTTTAGGGCTCTGCATGTCACTTTGGAGACCCCGCAGATCCCTACATGGCAAGTTGTCGATGCTAGCTTCAGATTAGCTTCAGTCATGCATGATCATCTTGAATCTGGAGCCGTCCAGAAGCCCATGACGATTGACGACAGACACTACAGACACACGCACTTTGCCTGAGTCCCACGGAAACACTGGAGCACCTGGCAGCAAAGGCACCGGGCTTGACGACATTCCAATGACCACATCTTGGAAAGATCTTGAGATCTGAATCCCTAAACCTCTAAACCCTAAACCCCTAAACCCCTAAACCCCTAAACCCTTAACCCTACACCCTAAACCCTGAACCCTAAACCCTAACTGAAGCGTACACGCTGCCTTCTCTGCGACTGCAGTGACGCTGACCTTGGCCACCTCCAGCTCTGGTGTTTCGGGTTTAGGGTTTAGGGTTTCTAGTAGTTGCTCGTCCACTCAAAGCCTATAGATCATATGTCATACGGCGGATCGCGGCACGCAAGAAAAAAGCTAAGTTGGACTTAGAGATCTCAGAAAAGAAAGACAAAGCACTCTGCGAAACCCGCATGGGACCATTAAAAACATCAGCTTGGAAAACCAGCAGCACGAATAAGAATACGGCGGCGACGATAGCAATAGCGTCGCCACAACGACTACGACCACGACGAAACACCCAGGGCAGAAGCAATAGCAAAGGCGGCGGCACCAGCAACTGCAGGAACAACACTTGCGACAGCGAAATGCAACACCTTGCAACAACCGTTCCAACAAAGGCATGCTCATCAAAATTATATTACAACAGAGCAACATAAACATCAATGACAGCATAGCAACTGCAGCCATCAGATTCGCACAGCGATGGCCATGGGGAAGGTGATAGTAGTAGCGGTGGCTCATGATGTTGGCGGTGCTGTGATGATGATGGTGATGATGAGGATGATGATGATGAGGATGATGATGATGATGACGATGACGATGATGACGATGATGATGATAATGATGATGAGGATGATGATGAGGATGATGACGACGATGATGAGGATGATGACGATGATGACGATGATGATGATGAGGACGATGATGACGATGATGACGATGATGACCATGATGACGATGATGATGATGATGAAGATGAGGATGAGGATGATGACCATGATGACGATGATGATGATGATGATGAAGATGAGGATGATGATGATGATGATGATGATGATGATGATGACAAAGGCCTGGTCTTAAACACAGACGGAGGCTCCATCCAAGCAGTCTTCCGCTCTTCTGCCAGTACACGAAGTGCCCTCCGGCCAGCCGCCTCTCCGCAGTTTCGGGAGACCAACGAGCTACGAACATTAGGGTTTAGGGTTTAGGGTTTAGGGTTTAGGGCACCTGATACAAGGGACCCTCGTGATCCTGATCTAGAGCCTAGAGCAGCCCTCAGATCAAGGTACTCTCCTCAGAGCACGACCCAGCACAAAGCACGAAGGCCCACAGGAAGATTATTGGTGGAATCATGCGAAAATGACGACTAGCCAGTCATAAACCCTCACAAAGCGTAGGCTCGGGCTTAATTAAATGCCTTGTAGGCAGGTAAAGGAAGCCAAGCACACATCCAGACCCGAAGCCGCAACTCCAGAGATGCCCTTTGTTCGATGGTCATATTCTACAATCATATCAAGGAGCCCTGGGGAATAGCGTTGCTAGCTCTTGAGGCTCTGATATTGAGCCCTGAAGGGTCCAAAGCAAGCAGTGCTCCCTTGAGGCTCAAAAACTGGCGCAAACGACATACTTTACAGGCCTGAATAATTGAAATAGGGTTTGAGCGGTATGCTACAATACGCATAACATTTATGATAAGGAACCCTAATGTCCCTAAAGAATGGAAATTATTCCGCCTTCTACAGTACGCACAAGATGCAGTGCCTCCACTCCTGCGACTGCGACTTTCTGGGCTGCCGGATATTCACCTTGTTAAGGGATGTTAAGGGTTTAGGGTTTGGGTTCACGGGCCGAGAAGTTTCGAGGACCTCGCAGTCCCAAAAATGAATTGCAAAGCCAGTGGGATCTGAAGGGACAAATTAATTCTCTTAAGACTCGGCTCGCTTCTCGAAAACCCTGCTAGCAACGTCAGAGCCGACTAAATCCATACTATGAAAGCCGCGTTGCAACTGCTCCCCTGTTGCTCGCTGTCACCAGCTTCCGCCTCAGCCCTCTCGCCCGACCTAGAGCAGTTTTGGTGTGTGTGTGTGTGTGCTCGATGATGCGGCCGTTATTGAGGCCACGTTGAGGCCGTATTCTGGCCATACTAAGCCAGCCTTATTGTCGAAATATGTATCGGGGCGACGAGTAAGAATTCGTGTTGCCCGTGTTTGTGGTGGCTCGTAGTCTACGGATTTTCGCGGGCTGCACGTCTACAGTGGCGATGGGATATGCAAACAAAACACAGCTGAGTGAAGAGTCAGCATGGCCAGGCTCAAATCTCAGTATCCCTGGCAGCCCTGGACTTTGCACCCTGTGATGTGGTGGTGCCTTCCTTAACCGCAAGACCAAGTCCACATAGAAAACAAAGATGAAACATGCACATTATCCAGATTGCCCTTTGTTGCTGGTGTCAACCCATTTCATAGAATGACATCGAAGCGAAAGTAAAACCACAACAGGTCATCAGGGCACCTGCCATCTTGCCATGAAGGTCGGCTGCTGTCCCGACGCAGAAGGTGGTCCCAGACCCCACGAATCTTGAAGGGCCAGCTTTCTTCCAGCTCGGCCAATGCCTTGTAGACATCGGAGATGCTTGGCAACACCAGTGTGGCCTCGAGCCCTCCCACCACAGCGGCCCAATCGATCGGGGCCCCGGGTGCGTAGCAGAAATCTCCGACATACCGTCTCTGTAGGCGGGACAGGCGTGTCATGTGCGATGCGCTGACCTTGCGGGGAACATCTGCATATCCGCCGAACATCTTCGCAAGTGCAAAGGCAACGCTCTCGAAGTCAGGCTGCGCAGCCGTAGCGAAGGATGCAGCATCCTCCGCAGATGCCAGCTGAGAGGGAGGTCGATGGATCAGCAGGCAGCTGTTGTAGCGCATCTCGAAGACATGGCTTGTCTCCGCACAGCCAGCATCCAGTGCCTCTGCTGCCCCGGACGCCTCCAAAGCTTCCTGCATTGGAGCCGCGATGGAAATCAACCGAAGAGGCGAAATACATCAGAGGCGTTTCGAATTGATGAGTTAATCTACATGATGCCAAACACGTTCTATACCAAATACTTACAGTAGAGAAGGGTTTTGGGGGGGCTCCTTATCATAATTATAATAATGTACCCCAAACCCCATCAACCCTCATTGAACCTCATGTCATGGCCTCGAAATCCGGGGCGTGCTCCAAGGCTGGATAAGCTCCAGCAGCAGCGATTGCAGCCTGCGCCACAAACTGTAGCGACTTACGCACCCTCTCCGAACTAAACCCTGAACCCGCCTTCTCAACCTAATTAGCCCTGGGCCGTGGACCCTCAACCCAGCACGCCTCGGCAGCAAGCATCTCCTCCACAAAGTCCCCGGCACCATGACGTGAAAATAGGCGGCAGATGTGAAGCCATGCCTGGTGTCTGGTAGCTTCAGGTGGCAATGTAAGAAAGCTAGGAATCATGACCACTGGTATCTCTGATTCTGACTGCTGCCGCTCGTTCTAGGGTGCCGCTCCTGCCGCAGCTAGTGCTGATCTAGGACTCTGCTACTGCATGCTGCTAGCTAGCTCTGCATAACGTAAAAGCTGCATAATGACCGATACTATACCTACGGTTGCTTACTGCATGTATACACTACAATCACTTCAATGTGCCCAAAAACTCTGTTCTAATTGTTAATTATTGCCCCTATAGTGCCCCATAAAGGACCCTTGTTGTAGAACCCTGCTAGACCGCTTTCTAAGCATCCCTTAACGAAACCTGAGTAAGGCCCTAAACCCTAAACCCCCCACCCCTAAACCCCCGAGCAGCTTGCCTCCGCAGGCTCGCCTTGTGCTGCGGCCTTGGCCAAAGAGTCCGCCGCAGCCTCTCCAAGCCATTAGGGTTTAGGGTTCAAGGGAAACAAAGACCAGGAATCTTCAAGGTTCAGGTTTCTAGCTTTGGGTTTTACCTATAGTCTCCATTGTAGTTCCTTTTGTGGGGTGTAACCAATTATATATTAAGGAATTTATAGGGTATCCCCAAAAAGGAACTACAATGGAGACTATAGAGCCCAAACCCCCGAGACCGAGACGTGCCCCAGACTCCGAAAAACCTATGACGCGTCAGGTGGTGGTGCCGCAGCCCGGCGAACACAGGCAGACCAGTAGCTTTTACTGCCTTGTTAGGCATCGTTCAGCATGATGATGAACATGATTGTAATTAACGTTGATATGATGAAGAGAAGGTGCAACAGCTGCAGTAGAAACACTCTGCCACCACGCCCACCACCCCCCACCCCCACAACAACCCCACCACCACCACCATCACCACCAGCAGCAATAACAACAGCAGCTGCAGCAACAGCAAGAGCAAGCAACAGCAACAGCAACTGCAAGAGCACCACACGACGACGACCACAACGACGACGGCGGCAACAGCAACGGCAAAACACAGAAATACTGAACACTGGCAATACCATTCATTCGCCGGCAAAGCCGATTTCAGTGAAGGGCCCTCCAGACCCTTTGTCCTCAAACGCCTGGAGTTGCATCGACAGCTTGGCAATGGTGTCTGCTGAAATGCCAACGTCTCAACCCCATCGCTCTGGCTGCCAAACCCTAAACCCAAAACCCTATAAACCCTAAGCCACAGCCAGCCTGGATGCAGGAGCAGCTATCCAAGGAGACCCGCGCCCCCGCTCGGAGCAATGCAGAGGATGAGCCCACGAAGCCGCCATGCGCAGCCTGGGCTAAGTGCCCATGCGGTTTAAGGTAGAGGATGTATCTCTGTGTTTCTTGCGCTCAACAAGTTCGATTCGAAGCAAGGTGAGTGGAAGCATGAAGATGCCAAGCCGCATACCAGAGTGGAGAATGGCCGAGGTCATCCAACGCGTTGACTGGTGCACTCGGCTGAGCCAACACTTGGTTCAGTACGGAGATTCGGCAGCTCTCTAGCCCGGGCCTGAGCAAAGCAGTATGCAGAACCGTTCGCCCACCAACCTTCTGAAAAGTTGGAAGCAGCAGCTCTTCGCCAGCCGCCAGCTGATCCCCAAAATCCAAACACCGGCCAGAGTCTTCCCAATAGTTCATGAGGCGTCGGTTGTCGTTTAGCTCTCGCTCTATGGCTTCCAGCTCGGTGGCGCCCTGGCACTCCACAATGACTTCACCTCTGCTGCTGGTTGCCGTCAGGTCTGCCTGAGCTGCGAGCAGTTCCTGCACAAGGACAGAGTCGTGCCGAGCACTGGCCAACATAAGGGGAGTCCAGCCAGATCGGTCGAAGAGGTCAACTTGCGTGTTCGAGGACCTGGCGATCTCTGCAAGCCCGGCATCTCCCCGAGAGGCAGCAATGTGCCAAAGAGAGTGCCCCGTCGAAGATTGCTGTGCATCGCAGTTTCCGCCAGTTCTCAATTTCTGCCTCACGCAGCGGGTGTCCCCGGTCACGGCTGCTGCCAGCATGGCCTCGTTGAACTCCTGCTCATGGAGAGCGCGCACGCGGACGCGGGCCGGGTGGAGCTCCTCCGCGCTGAGGCCGGCCCTGAGCGAGTCATCGATGAGCTGCTGCAGCTGCATGGAGTCCTCGGCCACGCTGGCTTCCAAGAGCTGCACACGCAGCTCCTCCTGATAACGGCCGTGGCAAAGCCAATCATAGCGGTCCTGCCCGGGGATCCAATTCAGAATCCCCCTTTCCCCCCCTCCCATGCTCCCATAGCTCTCCAAGGAAATGCGACCCTCGCACAGGGTCCCAAGCCATGGTAGGTTCTGACCCTACTAACGTTGAACTATAACATGGCGCACAGGAATCAGACCTGTCCCATTCAACCCCCCGCCCAGCAAAATAGCAACCGGAATGGAACAAGCTCAGCAGAGTGTCTCCTCAAACCACCTCGCTCGTGGTCCTCTTACAAACCCCGAAGGCCCTGTGCCGGAAACCCGGGTCCTGGAGTGGTCGGTAGCGATGGGGGCCGATCCCTAGCCGCACAGCAGCATCGATGAAGCTCTGGACCTCTAGGAGCTTGTCTAGTAATTCAGGGCTTTGTGTGTCGGGTTTCGGGGTTTTTTGAGGCTGACTGCATCTCAATTTAAATCGATGCCCAACACCCAACATGCTGCAGGCGGGGGGGTGTCGAAAGCGTCTCAGGATCTGCGAACTCCCTATGACCCAGTAGAAAAAGCCACCCCTGATCAAGGGAAAGACCGCAGGCAGCATGCGCGTGCGTGTGTGCAGATAAGGAGGGACAAGCGAGTGTTGACCTAAGCCCATGTTCGATTTGATTCTCGCTGGTTGTTGAGCGGCCTTTGGGAGTCTACATGCCTCCGGTTGGTAGCGACACGGCAGCACAGACTGCCGTCGGCCCCACATCACCGAGAGCAGAGGACCATGACATTCTGCTATGTACACGCTGAAACACAAATCGGACCCGGCAAGCCCCGTGTAAACATCCTACCGATAAGACCCAGTATAGGCCATTCAGAACCCTAAGGGTCCAAGTACCTAATAATCCTTTACTCTCCCAAATAGTAACCTACATAGGTACTATCCGAAACCTAAGTACCTGATTATCGGATCCTTTGGACCCTTGGGGGAAAAGCCCTGCCAAGAACGAGGAAGGACCACACCGGGCCTCTTCAGGATCTTCAAGCTTCTCGGGATGCTGAAGGTGACCTTCCAGCTCCTGCGTTCTTCTGAGCAAAGGCCTTGTATAAGGACCATGTCTCCACGTGGCTACGCTTAAGAGTAGGCTTTTTTGAGCCATTGTTGGTGCTCTCAGCACTGATACAACGACCACGACAAAAGCAGCTGCTCCTGCCACCTCTCCCGCTGCTCCGGCACCTGCTTTTGCTCCTGTCCTGCTCCTGTCCTGCTCCCTCTCCTGCTACTTCTTCTGATATAGTCACTAAGGAATATGATTACTGTTATGATCATAGCTAGTATTCTTATGGCGCCTTAACCCTGAAACGATTCCCGTACTTGGAGGTGGAGTTATAAGTCCCCTAATATGGGTTATAAGTACAGTTACCCTACTTATAACCCCCCTTGTAACTACCCATGAACCTCCAAGTATTCTAATCCCTAAACCCTAAACCCTCAACCCTCAACCCAAAACCCTAGGAACCACGGGTGTCCTTCAGGGCCCTGTCCAGCACGGGGCCCAGGGCTCCAGAGCCGAGCATCGTCTCGAGGGCCTTAAGGCGGAAGCATGGAAGCCTAAAAGGGCCTAGGGTTTAGGGTTTTAGGGTTTTTGGATCAGGGTTTAGGGTTTAAGGGTTTGGGGTTGGGGGTTTAGGGTTGAGGGTTTAGGGTCAGAGTAAGAAGGGCCCTAAACTATGGGAGCTGTGGTATATTCCTTATTATGGGCAATGCAGGATGTCTATCATCAACCACCGCGAAAATGGCAAGAGTACTGCCAAAAGTCTTGGGCATCAAATTTGGCATCATGATAGCATTATGGCAATACCTAAAAGTGACGAGAAGAAGAAGCATGACATTGATCAGGGTTGTAATAACGATAAGTGCGGCAACACTGTTCGTGATACATGAGGGACTATCTCTACATTGTCATCGCTGCTTTCGATTCCTGACCATGGCGTTCAACTTTCGCAATTGGCGCGAACGGTTAATCACTTGGCAGTGGTAGCAAATCATTTGCTCCCATCGTAAATAGCAGAAGCAGGCAGAGAAGAAACAGCAACACTGGTACTTAGTAGGCAGTTAGTAGGAGCAGCAGTAGCATCAGCAGTAGCACTAGAAGTAGAAGCAGCAGAAGCCGTCGCAGTAGTGGTAGCAGCAGTAGCTGCCGTAGCAGCAGTCGTTGCAGTAGCAGCAATCATTGTGGTAGTCGTAGTAGTAGTCGCAATAGTATAGTAGAGTAGTAGTAGTAGTAGTAGTAGTAGTAGTAGTAGTAGTAGTACTAGTAGTAGTACTAGTAGTAGTAGTAGTAGTAGTAGTAGTAGTAGTAGTAGCAGTGGTAGTAGTAGCAGTAGCAGTAGCAGTAGCAGTAGCAGTAGCAGTAGCAGTAGCAGTAGCAGTAGCAGAAGCAGAAGCAGAAGCAGAAGCAGAAGCAGAAGCAGAAGCAGGAGCAGCAGCAGCAGCA